TAAGGTTGTACGTGAATTTGTATTTTATTGAGAGAGAGAGAGAGGGGCAGCTGCAGCAACTACAGGGACTGCTGAGTATAGAAGAACGAAAAGGGGTGTGACACTTTGCCAGCTTACACACATCCCCTGCTACAATACTGTCCAGGACACATGGATGCCACATGCCCTAGAAGAAATAGAAGCCAAGTTGTGAAACTGCAAAGAGCTAATTGTTTTTTTCTGTCAGTGGATATTTGGACCAGTAGAAGAGTGCACAGCTACCTTGGCATCGTGACCAGTTTCAATGATGAGACGTACCAGGGGGAACACAATTTTGTTGTGCTGTGAGCACATACAAGGGCACCATACTGCAGATCATTTATCAAATGGACCAAAATGTACTAAAAACTGGAACATGCAATGGTGTGTGATTCGGATGTTGACTGACAGTGCCACCAATATGATCAAGGCATTTAGCCTCCTCCCTTGCACACAAGAGGAGAAGACAGAGGAAAACAAGGTGACCACGGGTGCCAGCAGCAATAGCATTGAACATTAGGAAGAGGGGAATGAAGGACTGCCTGCACCCTCACAGATTGAAGTGCAAGTGATAAAAAAGTATTTTACTGTCAAATTTACATTTGCATTGCCCCATTCACATGCTTCAACTGGAGATCAAAGATGTCATTAATGAGCAGGGCACTGTTTATCTGTGCCTGTTACTGAAAGTCATGCAGCAGGTGAAAAGTGTATGCAACACTGAGGAAACCGACCACTTAGGAGTACGCCCCACGACTGCTCGCCCAATGCGATGGAGCAGCCAAGTCTGGATAATTCAGTCATTCCTCCGATTATTCCAAAAAGACCCATTATGGCAAATTAAATTCAAGTCCATCTGTGCAAACATCACCCTGAAGGAAGTAAATCAGCTGAGACACCTTCTCATTGTATTGGCACTGCTGGCAGACCTCACAGACAAAAGGCAGAAGGACCTGGGGAACCTAGAGATGATCCTCCCCGCTACCACCGAAATCAAATCCCTAATCACCAAGTAAATCTTGGACTCAATTTTTGTGTGCAAGAGCTACATGAAATAAAAGGCTACATGTATGCTTGATTTTTGGCCGTGTGAGTAAAGTTGTCAATTGGATGGCAATGGATGTGACTGATTGGCATGGCCTTCTTCTTTTAATAAAAACTGTTTAAGAAATGATTCATCAACATATCTAAATGTGAGAAAAGAGAAAATGAAGTTAACTTCACTGTCACCTTAACTGGAATTAGGAAGTTGTGTTATAAAACGAATATTGAAACTTCTGGAGGGCTCAGTGTGTGGGGGGATGTCAGCAGTTGTTCAGAGCCAATGTCTGTTGTGTTGTCAAAGTTGTAAGTGATCATGTGAAAAAAAAAACTTTTTTCTTTTTGTCTTTTCTGAAATTAAAATTTATAAGAGGGCTGACCCCAAATTTGAAAGGAAGGCTATACCTCTGCACTTGTTATTTTCTCTTTGACAGTCATTGTCACTATGAGAATGATCTACATCTCCTCCTGTCTTTTCCAGCTATTTCGCTACCTGTGCCAGTGCCTCTTTGCTCAATGCTGCCACTCTAAACTGATTCTCTCCAGTTATTCCATTAATTAAGGTTTACCTTTCTCTTTTTTTTTTTTTTTTTTTTTTTCCCCCCCCCCCAAAAAAAAAAAAAATTTTTTTTTAAAAACTTTTTTTTTTCCCTTTTTTTTTCTCAAAATCATACATCTTTAAATTTGCTTGTTCATTTACGGAGTGCATCATTTTTTACACGTGGTAAGCCCTGTCTCCTAGCAAGTTTATTGCACATTTTTCATACAACAAACTTTTGGTCAAAAGTGTTTGAAAAGTTGGTAAACATAATGCCCAGTTACTTACCTCGTTAAAATTAAGTGTTTGTCTATTAACATAATGTCAGGAAATTATGTAAATAATTAACGAATATGCTATTAACATAGGAAGTCACAAAAATGTTGATACTGAAAGTATCAGTAAAATGTTCACTGACAGTGTATTTGATTTGTTCATTTGCAATACACTATCTACTTTGATAGTGATTATAGCATTATTCAACTTTATGCTTCTGCGTAACCAAAATCACAGTCTTTCCTTAACCAAAGTGCTTTTTTGCCTAAGCCTAACCACAGACAGGAGTCTGGACGCAAACACTGGATTCTGGTGTCACAGGCTTGCACTTTGTATGACCACTGTGAACCCCGACCACCTATTATCACAACTCCAGTTCAGTACATAAATGAAGTGTTTCATTCACTCAAAGAAATGTTGTCTCTGAACATAATCCAGGCAGCAATTTGTCACAACAACATCATATTTAACATCATTTTTAGGAGACAGAGTTGAAATTTCATACATATTTGAATGCTTGGTGAAACTGCATTACATACATGTTACAAGTACTGTAACTCCGCTTCTGTTTGGCAAAAAAAATCTGCAGTCTTGGTGATGGGACTCATTGCACTAGTGCTCTAGAGAGGAAGAACTGCAACATCATGTGAGTCTTATCATCTCTCCTCTTCAAAAGTGGATAAGTCTGTCAATCATTTTACAGCAAGTCTTTTATACATTACTCATTTAATTTTTTATCGGCTTGACCACCAAGACAAACACAGTCCTAGATGCTGATTCTGAAGTGAGAGAGAGTCTGATTTTAACAGGGTAAAGCACTATGAAATAAATGAGCTAGGAAATGTTTAGGTGCCTATCCAGGACATTTCTTAAATGTCTTTTTAACATAACCAGAAAAGACTGCCACACTGGAATGCAAGAAATTGTTCCAAATGCATTTATTTTTGCAGCTGTTGATTCAGATGCAGATATAAATATTTCCAATGAATAGTATTAGATATTTCAAGGATGGCTCAGTCTTGGCCAAAGTGTGGTCAGTTAGCTTGTTGCATCTAAATAGGGTTTATCCAATGTCAGCCGTGGGGCGCGTTTACCTTCTCAGTTCTTACATTACTAACACAGGGCACATACAGGCTGGGTATGTGCCTTAACAAGTTTATATAGACATATTTTATTCTTCTGCATGTAAACTGCTTTGGGGGAACAGTTCAGGCTTATCTGACTTTCCATCATTGAATTCTATTGAATTATATTCTAGTTTGATAACATACAAAAAATGATATGTTCCAATAGAGTGTTGAAGTCTATCAAACACTCATCAAAGGATCAAGACCAACACTGAAACATTCACGACACTCCACACAGCTACATTAAAGTCAACAAACTGAGTGATCAATTCTTTGATTGAGTTGTTTGAAATTCGGATTCTCTTTATATTTTACAATGTTTCATGTTCAGTAGTCAACATGGAGGCAGCGCTGTCCCACCAAGCAACACTTTGACCACATTTACACTTTGTCCCTTCATGCATCTAGGGCAGAGCAATTTTTAAAAAAATCAAAACAGTTGGAATTGTTTATTATGAAAGAGAATAATCATAAAGCTTGATAGGAGGTAATGTACCTAAGTTGGAGCACTCAGGGTGCACATTAACGTGCACATAGAAGGATACAAGTGGTGGGGTACCTCTGTGGCTCTTGGCAAACAGGTTGAGAAGCGAGAGTGAAGATAAATCCACATTTTAATCCCAAAAGTATACAAATAAACCCCAAGCTCTCCTCTTGCTAGTAAATGTCTCCAGAAGCTCCCCGTCCTGGCTCTCTACTGCAGAGCTCCTCGGGCTCAAGCAGCTTTCTGTGGGCCAGCAGCAGCTCTGTCTCTCGACTACATCCCATACAACGCTGCAAACACCCCATGATATGCGCACATTTTTTGCTTAAAGTTCCATATTTTCAACTATGTAATCTACTTCCACGAATCATTGATTTCACCTTGGTGGGAACACAGCATTACTGTTGTGACACCCCTCCCACTACCTTGGAGGCTGTCCTGGCCAACCTCAGCAGGCACTTGGCTGACATGGGCGGGTTGTTAATTGATAAACTCAAAACTGTAAACTCACCTGGACACTTAGGCTCTAATGGATGTCACTTAATGTGTATTCTCAACACAATATTTTCTTTCTGTTGTCTAACATTAAACTTTTCTTTATTTTCTCAGAATGCTGTTCTGCAGTTGATGTCCATGGATATAGACAGTGGCTCTTAAATTTGGATTCATTGAAATTAACATGCAAGTGTACATACCTATTTTGCATAAATGTTTTGGACTAAAATTTATACGATGTGTACAAAAATTAACAAAATACTAAAACAATCACATCATGGGGGCTCATCTCACATTTGGGGACAAAGGTGGGTCCCTACAAAGTAACAAATACAATTTTAGGGTTTCAAAATGTATGATTTTTCCTAAGGTTAGTGTTGGTATTAGACATTGGGTGTGTTATGTTTTTAACGAAAGGCTTAGATTCATTTTAAATCCATTACTTGCTTGTAAGCCATTCGTTTTACTCTCTTTTTATAGTACAGTAATAGATCTAAAGACTGCAGTCATAAAACAGTTTTATGTGTTTTTGTTTGTTCTGAAGTTGAGTTACATATCACAAAAGAAAGAACCTGTAAAATGTCAAGGAATTTTCCTTAAGAGCACTGTGAATGTTGACAGGCTTCATTTGCTTGTATTCAAGCACCCTTATTCCTGTGTATATGTGGTTTTTAAGTGTTAAATTCATGTCCATACACTTTATCCTCTACAATAAATATTGCATTTTGCTTTGCTCTCTGTTCAAATTAATAAATAAATAAATAATTAATATTTTACGTGTATTTTTTTCTTTTTTGTACACACTAACAGTCTGGCATCTTATGCCTTATGCGGTGTGTGTGTGTGTGTGTGTGTGTGTGTGTGTGTGTGTGTGTGTGTGTGTGTGTGTGTGTGTGTGTGCGTGTTCCAAGGAAAGGGAGGCGCTTCAATCGGTGAAAGGGTAGACGAAGAGAGGAAGGGGAAGTTACACTGCGGCTGGGTGAGTCACTTACTTTCTTGCGTTCTTTGTCCGTAACTTTCAGAATAATAATGATGTATGTGTACTCTTGCCTTCTTTGTGGTGAGTGTATCCTTTTTTTTATATTCTCTGTATCTCTGTATGTATAAATGCTGCTGTAATTAAGTATTTTAGTGTTTTGGGTTTATTTTGGAAAGTAAGTAATGTGCATTTGAATTAATTTATGCATTGACATTATGACAATCACAAAAATGTTTCCTTTATTTCCACTTAGCTCTGAGTGTTGTGGCGGTGGAGCCTCTCAACTTAAATGGACATGTTGGGAAAAATGTTACATTCAAATGCTCCGACTGGAACGTTTGGGCTGGTGTAAAATCTAATGTTAAGTACCTTTGTGATAATCCATGCTCAGAAAACAAACACATCATCATTAAAGCAGAATATGGAAAGACTGCACATGAGAATAGAATAGAGTTAACTAACAGAGCAGAAGGTTTGTTTGTGACTTTCACTAATCTCCAAAAGTCAGACTCTAAGAAATATTATTGTGGAGTGGAGAGATTTGGCCCTGATCCCTTGATAGAGGTGAATCTTAAAGTTATAGATGGTAAGTTTAAGCTCCCCATTTATTTATTTTTTTAATACCACTCCTTTGTCAAAAACCACTGTATTGTTGGTAGATTAATATGTACTGTCTGTTATTTTCAGAGTCTCCCAAGAATACTCCAGCAACATTTGCTGTTACAAGCAGCTCCACAGTGTCTTCAAGCAGCTCAGATAGTATTAGTGCTATGTCTACATCATACATCATCCATTGTACAACAACTACTGCACCAGCAACACAAAGATCTGGTAGGAAATCTGCGCTTGCATGTATATTACTTATATACAGATATATACGTATATTTGACATTGTAATGCCTGTTATAAATATTGAGTCCAGGTATGTAAGTATGAACATCACCATGGTGAAATACAACATAATTAAAATCACTGCATGCTCGATTGATAAATGAAAATGTATAAAGTTGAAGTTGCTGTATGCTATATTGTTTTGTTAAAATATTATATTTTCTGTGCAGAAAGAATTCATATGGCCTGTGAAATTGAAGTTTAAGATCATTAAAAGTTTAATTTATTGTAAAGAGGATGTGAGGGGGCAAGATGTGTTTAGTATGACAGCATGTCTTCCTCTTTCTGTTTCTCCGACCAGGAAGTGTTCCATTTATGATTGTAGGTGTCATTCTTATACTAACCTTACTGATTGCCCTTCTGTACCTTATGAGGAAGATGGCCAAAAAACAACTTGGTAACCACCACATAAACAGTACAGCAACATCAGTTAGATAAGCCTCCACCAGACATAAAACCAAAGGTCTTATATGTTTCAGCAGACGCATCACGTGCTGATACACCACAAGAAGACATGCGAGAGGTGAGTCTCCTTTATTTCAGTTCTGAAACCATGTTGAGGGCTGTTGGTTTCTGTGGACTCACACACAGATGCAGCTATCGTGGAAGTACAAATGATGTTGAGGACACATTTACAATGCTAATCTCAGAGTTAAAAAAAAAAATACAAATAACACCTACAATATCTGTTTTCTTTTTAATTAAAAATGATTTTTTTGTACACAGCAACAGCACTACTGTTCCCCTATGCTCATCACCCATTAGGCTAATTTAGGAGACTGAAAAGCTATTGGGGTCTGGAACTAAAGGCACATTTCTCATCTAACTGTATCTTTGATCCGACTCAAGCCTGCTGTAGCACATACTGAATGAGCTGATTTTGGTAACGAATATGCTCAATATCAAAGTCAAATTATTTTAGCAAATTAAATTAATGGGGAAAGGAGCTGGAAGGGGTTAGCTTTATGTTTAATTTATTAAAAAGGCAAGTTCAACCCAATATTTGTAGTAGTAGTAATATTTGCATTTGATTGCATTCTTCTTCTTCTTGTTCTTCTTGTTCTTCTTCTACTTTTTATTATTATTATAATTATTATAATTATCATTATAAAAAAAGATAGATGAACCTTAGATGCAGTGGGATCCTTATTTTCTTGTATCATCAGTCTGAGACATCTGATCTTTACAAAGCTAAACATAACTCCTCACACACCAAAAATGGTCTTGGAAATCCTAATTTGTGATTTCCAAGACCGGAGGTGCAAAGAAATTAGAGCATCAGCTCATTTCCAAATTTCCATTGTGAAAGTCGAAGTTTGACACTGGTTTAGACTTTGTTTGCCATTTCAAAATGGTGACAAACTTAGTTTGACACACCGCTGTTCCCCTCTATTGATCTCAACAAGACACAACTGTCTTCCTGACATTAAAAACTTTATGTCTCTTAATTAACCGCAGCTGAATTTACACAGACCTGCACATACACAGGTCAGAATAAACTCTGTCTCCTTATCTTCTAATATGACTGCAGAGAAAGAAGTAATGTTGGCGCAATCCTCGTCAAGATGTCTTAATGGTCTAAGATGTCTTAATCATGATGGTTTTATAATGTTGTTTTTATGTGCTTGTTACCTTGTTTGTATTTTGTTTGACTCAGTATTCCTACTGTTTGTTTTTCTCACTGTTTTCTATTTCAAGGAAGTTGAATATGACAAAATCAGACCTGAGGACCAGCAAACTGCATGCCAACCTGCAGGGGTCTCTACCCTCAGCTTCTCTGCAGACCCAGACAGTCTTTATGCTAATTATTCCTCCCACCAAGGCACTGAATTAGCATTTTCCAGAGTCACATTTCACCAATGTGACTTGGTGTACTCTGTCATTCCACTACCCAGTGATCAATCTGAACCAAATCAATCTGAAAGCAACACAAATGACTCACTCTATTCCATGGCTCAGCTACCACAGGCAACCTGAATGTGGCTACTGTGAGTGAAAAAAGGAACTTTCTTGATCATATTGATTATGATTTTTTAAATGTAAATTTAGAGATATAATTTAATATAAAATAAAATGAGAGATCAAATGACAAGCATATTCTTTCATCTTCAATAAAGTATCTTTCCGTTCAATGATAGTTTGGTAAGAGTAATTACTTTTACTAAATGGATGGATTTACTGATAATAAGCTTTCAGAATAATTTAAATAATACTTAGTGAGCATCAAACTGCAAGTAACCCCCACCTTAAGAAATATGTTTGATGCTTTACATTCTGTATTAATAATTGTATTATTTAGTGAGGAGTAAACAAGAAAGCCTGCCACTGTATTAAACTTCATGATGCCAGATTTGAATCCCAAAACTCCTGTGACGTTGTCCATCACTTGGTAGAAAGAACATCTGCTTTGTGATTCTATTACTTTATGAAAATATTTTAAATTAACAAGTGGCTGAGACTGAGAGTACACAAAGACATATTCTTACTGAAAGGATGTGTGTGAAGTTCAGTGAACAAACTGAAGTCTGCCTGTGACCCTGCTGGTTATACAGTCTGCAGTATAAAGTTGGAATGATGTTTTATAAAATGAAATATCCTAGAAACTGTACATCACAGTTTTTTTTCTGAATCTTATCCTCACTAGTAGGCCTACTTAATTATGTATTTTTAGATCTTCTTCCTTTTTTGTGTCTTAGGCTTTTATAAGGGTGAATGGACGTGATCCAGTAATATTCATGATGCTTCTGCCATGTATCAAGTAGATCAGTAAGCTTTTTCTATTTCAGACCACTTAGAGGAAGACTTGCCTCCCCAAAGCACCATTACACAGCCCACAACTGTTTCACTTTAACAACTCACACTGGACCACTAAATGCAAATCTATTGTTATTTGATTGTGAGGCACTTCAAGCCCATTGTGTTTCTCTTTTTAATATAAATAATCCTCAGATGTATTTTGACATAAATTTAAAGTTATTTGTTTATTGTTGTTTTACTTCTACAAGAATTGACCCTTTTGTAAACGTGTGTCTTTTTGTTTCATTATTTATTCACATAATACAGTACATTTATTTTAGCAGGCTCACTTTGAGAACTGAAACTTTGCATTAGTCACCTATTACCTGAAACTAAAAGTGATTTGCATCTCTGTAAAGGGTGCTGTACAAATAATGTTATCAAATAATTAATTCAGAGAATTGTGAAGTGTGTTCTTTATATTTGAGTTGTGCAATTAATAAATCTGAGAGTTGATGAGTTTTGTACTGTTATGCTTTGTGGGGTTTTTTATTGTGCACAGTGTGAGGCCTACAGTCTGTACTAGAAATAGATTTAAATAGAATTAAATGTACATTTCCTGCATTCATTTGATTTTTATTTATTTTTTTTTGCTTTCTTGCAAAGATGAGAAGACTGACATCATTGTGACACGAAATGATTTACTTTGCTTAGCATAAAGACTAAAAGCCGGGGGAAACAACTAGCATGTAGAAACACACTTCCTGGAAAAACTGAATAATAACAATATATCACTCTAATAACTAATAGCAGCTAAACACTGCAGTAAATGCCATGGGATTGTTTTGAGGTTTTTTTGTTTATGGTTTACTTCCACTTCCACCAAGTTCTTGTCTGCTCTTACTCTCTTCATCTGTCATAGATGCAAACAGACTTATACTTGACTTTACTTGAGTTGCCATCAGTACTACTAGTAGAAGTAATATCAAAGTATTGAAGAGCAGTTGGAGAGCATGCCAAGTGCATTTTAGTTTGGATTATTTTTTCCAGGCTGAGTAAAGGCTGAAAGCAGGCATTTGACAGGCTGAGAGATGACAAGAGTCTGAACTAGGAGACTTAAACTAATACACAGGGTCATGGACTCACAGGACACATAACAGGTTAACAGGATCACACCAAGGTTTTTAGTAGAAGTGCTGTGTCTTGATTTAATTTTGTAAATACTGTTAGGGAGATCTTCTTGTGGTGGGATGTGAAGCAGCTTGGCATTTTCCAGACCGAGTTTGCTGTGGAAAGAGGACATCTACTTGCCAGATGTTACGTTGGATGAACTTCTGATTTGAGGTACTGTCAGCAAGTCTGTACATGGGTCGCCAGCTCTACCGACTGAGCTAACCGGGCACCCAACAGAATGCATGCATCTTAATATACTCAGAGCTAGTCGGCCAGTATGCTCACTACATCAAGTTGCGCAGGACCATGCAATTTATGCAACGGCCCCGCCCCTCGTGTTGAGGCAATGTTTAGAACTTTGATGATAGGAAGAACAAAACTATCCGTCACAAGAACAGAATAAAAGGCCTTGAGAGTGAATTGTCTCACTAACAGCTGGGCAGTACAGCTCTTGTTGTGAATGTGTCTTCCAGGGCTGTTCTGTGACTTTGTGTCTGACAAAACTGAGAGTGAAATACAACTATATACAACATGTGCACAAAACTCTGTGAGCACCAGTCCAGACAATATATGGGCATGATGGCACTCCTCACAGACACACATCCTTACAAGACAATGACACTAGTCTCTCAGTCAAGGTTTGTTTAACTCTGTAATGCAAGATGGAAAGCAATGGACTGACAAAGACTATTGATAAAATATTGTATTTAAAATGTTGATTAGCATGCTGGGCAATATGGATGCAGATCTCTCAATAAATAATAACCATCATGTATTTCAGCCAAGCCATAGTATAAATAGTATTATATATTTGAAAATGTATAAAAGCAAATCTGGGGGAGTCAGTTTGAATGCATCTGTTTTGAGACTTCAATTGCAGTCAGAACCTTATGAGGCTTGTGTTTATAGACAAAGCTAGTTGTATAATAGTGTATGGACTGTAATAGTAATTGCCAGGCAGCAAGGCCAAAGCTCATTTTCTTCTCCTTTCTAAATTATTTTCTACATTTTATATTTTCAGTGTTAATGTTAATATTCACTTATCTTAAGATTCTATAGAAAATATTCTATTCAATAAATATATATTTATACCTCATTCTGCTCTCTGTAAATCTACTAATTCTTGAACAGACAAAAGAGGGAGGATGGTTTCATGGGAGCACTGGGCTGTCAGTGTGGCAAAGGCAAATAGTTTACATGGCTACAGGTCAGTCTTATCAGAATTTAGTTTAGGGCCCCAGGGAGCCCAGGAGCTCTGAATATACTGATAGCTTGATGGCTGTTAAGCAAGTCAGAAATGAACAACTAATGAAACAAATCAGGTAATATGGAAGTGTTTTAAGTGTTGTCTTTTTGATCAGTATCTGTCTTTTTCTCTCTCTCTCTGTCCACAATCTCCTTTTACAATTTGTCACACGCACGCACACACACACACACACACACACACACACACACACACACACACACTCAGCCAGCAGAAGTCACCTTGGCAGCGGGATTGCCCTCCAGTAGTTGTTCTTGTCAGGCTCAGAGAGCGAGAGCAGCTAGATGTCGTTGTTATTGTTGTTAGTGTTGTTGTGTACATCGGCCACCAGGGGAAGAGTACGGTGGCCTGGGGTATCTGCTCTGTTGTCAATGACAGTCAATGACACTCTGCTGCTAGGTGAAAAGGATTAGCCAACTCTCTCTCTAACTTTCTCTTTTTCACTCTCTCTCTCTTTCCCACACACACACACACACACACACACACACAAATACATTCACTGCACTGGTTTTGCTTGTAGAAAGTTTGTAGAAAACGACAAGTAGTAGAGACACGAAGTACCTGGGAAATTGGACTAATGATGGACTGAGTAAAATGGAAACAGCTTGTGGGCATATTGCCTTTACTTCTTACTGGTCTCAGGTCAGAATGTGAACACACAAAAGTGTGCACATAGGTAGTTTGATATTTTCACACATATTTATAAGAACTCAAATTATATCAAATAACGTATAAAGTCAGTCCATTAAAGACACCCATTAGTCAGCAAATTTTCCACCCAGATGGAGAGCCTGGTAGACTTTTTCTTCAATAGGAAATGTAGGAAAATCTTGGAAATAAGAGGTAAAATTTGTCTTGTTCTTGTCTGGAGCCATTTCACAGCCTTTTGATGACCCCATTGGCATTAAACCTTTCCAAACATTGACTTTATTACAGGGCAGATTGCTGACAGTAGCTTGCAATCTATAGAAGGTACTGCACACCTTCACAGGTGTTTTCGCTTATTGCAGCTAATAAGGCCTCTGTTAATGTTGACCCTAAAACATAATGCTGACATTAGGCAGAGCTATGCTAGGAATTCCCAAAGTGCACTGTAAGTGTGTGCACTGTAGAGTTATAAAGGTGTAAGTTGTCCCATCCTAACAGGTGCAACAAAATTGACAGGGTGAGGGACATGTCAACCACGTCCTGAGAAGAGGTGTAATCACGCATCATAAGTGAAAACTCTTGTGTGGGAGTACCATGGGTGTCTAAAGGCTTTAATTGCTTTTGAGCCCATTTGACTATCCTTAAACTTTTACAAATTTAGGATCTGATTTTAGTTTAAAAATTTATGAAATACTATGGATCAAAGATGTTTTGAAATGTCAGTGTTTATATTCTTGTCCAAGCTCTGAATAGCTCCACATTGCAAACACAGACACAAACACACGCACACACAGTATGAATCCCCAGCTTGCTTTTCTAAAGTAATAAAGCAGAAACAGTTGAATAAACACAGACACACAGCTGATGTACAGCCTAAGGGAGTTCATCATGTTCATCAGGAGGCCATAGCTTTCCTGCTGTTGAGCACATCGTAGAATTTAGAGCTGGGTATTAAGATCCTCCTAACTCAAACAGTATACAGCTCTGTGGGGAAAGTTTGCTGAACAGTGTTGAGTAGGTTATATGAAGTGGTAGCACTCTTGGTATGTAAATGTAAAATGTTCTTTAGCACTAAAACTACTTAAACATGGGCCCCCACCCACCTCAGGGGCAGATACTGTATATTATGAAACTTTTTCCATCTTTTCCCAAGGAGATAGAGGGAGAATTTTATAACAGTGGTGTATAAAGGAGTGTGTGTGTGTGTGTGCATCTGTGTGTATGATTGTGTTTGTGTTTATGTGTGTGTGTGTGTGTGTGTGTGTGTGTGTGTGTGTGTGTGTGTGTGTGTGTGTGTGTGTGTGTTTGTGATGGCAATCCCACAGGCACACAGCTCCTTCCATATTTTCCTTCATGAGATCCTAAAATCCTAAAATATGCTACTCCTGCAAAATGTCACTAAAAATATAACCACACTGCAGAGTATATCTATCTTAAAGGCATACTATGCAGTTTTCCGGTTTTGTCAAACAGCTACCCCTAGAGTTGCTGCGGAGTACTTGTATTTAACCTTAATTGTCGTAAATACCACTTACCAGAGCCGTCTCTCTATACGGCTCTGCGTCTCTGCACTCACAGCCTGATCCCCTCCCCCCTGTATACTGGTACATGTTCAGTAGGATGGAAGCGTCGGACATCGAACAGGCAAAGATAGACTCTGAAGATGTCTACTGACCAGGTAACGTCTTCCATTGAGGCTGCTTCTTATGTCGCTGATGTATGTCACGTCGCGCCATAAAGCAATTTGTGATTCTTGCGAGATTAGGCGGGGCGCCATCTTCAGACTTGTATTGCTGGTTCTGCCAGCGGCGTCCCTCCCCAGCGTTGCTATCGGTATGATTCGCTATACTACGAGTTTGTTTACCGTTGAAATGACTTCGAAGCTGTTATATTAAGGTACAAATCTTGCACAGTGTGCCTTTAAGTGGAGAAAGAAATCTGCCAATGGGGTGACGTAATTCCGTATGTTTGCAAAAGTTGAAATAAAGCAAACAAAAACCTTTGAACACAATAAAGTTGAATGGCATGAACAAAATGTCACTTTGAGGAAAACTACTCTAATAAAGCATGGGTTTTTGTTTACATTGCTCCTGCTATCTGTGGTGTTGCCTATGATAATATTCAACTTATAATTGTTGAGATTTCAAAAGTTGTGTGTGATTGATAGGCTGTCAACAAACAACCAAACCAAACATTCCAAATATGACGTTGATATATGACGTTAATGACAAATTACAAAATCATCACCCAAATTGTCTATTGTAGAAATCCATCACACTTCCTCATTCAACTTGCCACACTTTGCGCAGTTGTCCACACTCACCATTTTTCCTGTGCAGGTATTTTGGGAAAAACTATGAGTGCACGCTGAACTTGTTTACAACCTACTTGATTGTCTGACCATGTGCGTTTCTTGTCATGTTGGACTTTC